GGGCCCCCCCCCCCCCCCTTTCTCGTGCGTTTTGTGAGTGCATGTGCTGTGTGCACACCCTTCTGAAGGGCTCTTAGTCCGTTTATTTTTTCTTTTCTTTTTTTTTTTTTGGAGAGGTTTTTGCTACAGGGCGTATGAACTCGCCAGAAAGACAGAGACAGAGAGACAGAAAGCAAGAAATCACCCCCCAAGGGGGGTGGCCACGCCGCAATCCCTTCTCCTCCATTCTCCTCTCGGGATCTTGGGCACGCATGCACACACGCCCGGCTTGAGTTGAAGCTACTGGGTCTGGGACTTGAACCACGGTTGACTACGTGGGAGTCCAGAGACATAGCCATTACGCTAACTGCTGGTCCAGGGCGCTCAGTGCATTTCCAGAGCTGTGTGGCCACCACAGCCAGCACCTCTCCCTCCAGCTCTGGGCCAGCCTTGCCAGTGGTGCCCGGCCACGCCTGCAGGCTCGCCCCCTGCGGCCCTTCATGTGGAGCGGCCTGCTGTGGCCAGCGTCTTGCTAGGCCTTGATCTCGAGGCTCCCCATGCCGCCGCTGCCATGTCGGTCCGTCAGTGACTGTGACTCATAGAGGAGTTCCTGGTCTGTCCACGTGCCACGCAGTGGCAGGCGTGGGGGCCTGTGTTTGGCAATCGTGAATGATGCTACCACGAGTGCAGTACCCACCCTTCATCAGGGCTGAATCCCAGCGGCCTGCCCCATGCCCCTTTGGGCACCTGTGGTCAGGACAGCCAGCCTCCACCCCCTCCCATGGTGTGGCCGGGCAGTAGGCTCCGCTCTGTCACCAGTGGCTATCGGTGGGCAGCCGGGGCTGGCGTGGACGGGTCAGGTGAGGCCTTTCCTGGGACATCGCCCTGCCGGAAGAGCTCTGGGGCTGCCTTGGCCCTGTCCGTGTCCAGAACACTGATCCCAGGTGTGCCTGCCCAGGCCTCCTGAACACGTGCAGGCCTGTGAGCGACGTCCTCAGAGGCAGAGGTGGACAAGGGCCGCCCACCCTCAGAGGTCTTCTGCCCAGCGGGCCCTGTCCATCCTGCTGCCCGACCTCCTCTCTGGGCTCCGCCCTCACGGGGCGCCTGTACCCCAGGTGAAAGCCGAACGGGAGGGTGCAGAGAGGAGGGCTCTGGAGGAGCCAGCCAAGTGGCGGGAGGGAGTGTCGGTGTGCCTGCAGGAGCTGCGGGAGATGGTGGACCGCTTCCCCCAGCAGGTGGGTGAGGCTGCTTGGCCTCGAGGAATGGGGGCCCTTCCTGCCCTCTGCCCCTTCCCTGCTCCCTATCCCTTGGCTGTGGGCAGAGGCCGAGGCTGCCCTGGACCACCCCCCCATCCCGCCCTGGGGTGGCTCCCTGGGCCACCTACCGCCCGCCCCTCGTTTCAGATAGAAGCCATCTCAGACAGGTGTGTCCTGCACAAGAGTGACTCGGACCGGAAGGTCTCCTCGGAAGGCCAGGCCAGGTGGGACCTGCAGGCTCTGCTCATGCTTGCTGGCTGTGCCCCGGCCCGAGGCTCCCTCCAGCCCCACTGTGTGCCCTGGCCAGGTGCCATGGCGGGGGACACTGCCCGCCCTGCCCCGTTCCTCGAGCCCCCTCCCTCCCGGCCGGCCTGAGCATGCGTCATGGTGGCCTCGGCCTCCTGCCCGCAGAGCGTTCGAGGTCCAGGCTGTGCGGCAGGAGCTGGCCACCCTGCTGTCGTCCGTACAGCAGCTCAAGGAGGACAGCTCCGGGCGCAAGATCGCAGAGCTCCAGGGCCGACTGGCCACGGTACCCTAGCCAGAGCCACGGGCCGCCCATGCTAGTAAGGGGGGTACAGGGCTTCCAGTCAGAGGGCACGGGCCTGAGCCAGCAGTCTCCTGGGCAGCTGGTAGCTCCCGGCCTCTCAAAGTGCCTTCTGTCACGATGGCAGGGCAGCCTGAGACTGTCTGGGACCGCGTGTGGGGGCAGGGTGGGGGTGCTTCCAGGTCTGGGACCTGCAGAGGGTTGGCTGGACACGTAGTCCGTGCCCACGACAGGCTGAGTTCAGTTTCAGAACCAAATCATGAGATTGGAGAGCAGCGTCCAGGCCAGCAGGACCATCTGGAATCTGAAGTCCAGCTCAGAGACCAAGCTGGTGAGGGGCCTGGCCGGCCTCTGAGGGCCTGACCCCACACAGGCCGTCCCGTCTGCAGGCACTCGGCGGCCGACGGCGTTGCCCCGAAGATAAGGGCTTCGGCCCTTGAGCCCAGGGAGATAAACCCTTGTCTACTGCCTGCCCCGGGCTGCAGCCGGCCCACGTCCCTAGGGCTGTCCACACCCATGGCTCCCAGTGAGCTGTGCCTTGTGTCCACAGCGCTCAGAGGAGACCACCGCCCTGAGAGAGAGCGTGGTGCGCTTATGGGGCGAGGAGGACAGCCACAGGGTGTCCGTGTTGATGGCGGGGCAGCGGCTCTTCATCAAGGACGCCGGCTCCGGCGCAGCAGTGGCC